AGCAAATGGCTGCAATATAACAAAGAGTGAAAAATTTAAGGGGGTCTGAATACTTTCCGTACCCACTGTATTTTTTTTTTTTTTTTTTTTTTTTACATACACAGTGGAACCTCTTTGGAGGTCCACTCTGGAAGAAAAAGTCGACATTGCTAGTATACACCATTAACACCACCAGTAGGCTACTGGGTTAAGCGGGAAGATACTGGTTTGATGTTAATGGTATTGTTTGCTCAGCTCAGTCTATCGAATTGCTTCATTAGAGCCAAAAACAACAATAGAGTCCGTCTTTTTAATGAGACCAAACCCTGTCATTGCACATATCTCGGAGTATAGTTTGGAAAACAAAGTATTCCTTCAAGCCCTTGGGCCGCTGGTTCAGTCAGCCCCGCTGTAAACCCTGGACAATGGAGTTTGGGAGATCGAGAGGAGAATGTGTGGAGTGCTTGTCTCCAGAGTGCCTCTTCACAACGTCTTTGGGTCCGTTCACGCCGACGAGGACTTCTCTGTGCTCTTGTCCAGTACTTCGCCATCGTTGTCTTCTTCAGTGACTGTCAGTGAACAGAGACACTAGGGTTATGATGAGAGACCAACTCACAGATGCTCTATTGCCTCTCGCTACGCACAGGCACAAAGATGGAGATTCCATGTTGCCATGAATTTTAATACATCCGAAATGGCGCAATACATCACTGTATCCTAATCGCTGTCTATTCGAGAAGCGGAAAACAAGACAGTTTAAACTGATTATACCGCACGTGAAATCATTCGACACGCGCTATTTTCGTGCGTAAAGGCATAATCGGGAAGCGCAACATGGAATTTCGCATCATCTGCGCCCGTAACAACCGACTCATTTTGTTCGTGTAACGAAGAAAGGCTTTGCCCGTTACCTCTCTTGCTTCTCCCGATCTGCCCGAGCTTTGGTGGTCGTTTATTCTGGTTGCCACCGAAAAAGTTGTTGGTGTCTTGGAGGCGGCAGGTGAAGGAAAGGTGTTCCTCGTCCCCGTCGTTGCCATAATGAGTCATTTTGTCCTCGTTATACGGTAATACATCCGACATGCTGTATGAACTGACAGCGGCTACTTTATCTGCTGTTGGATCGATAGCGCGAGGCCAATTTTGTCGAGCGAATCTTTCGGCTGTTTACCTCTATCGCACGTGTCTCCGCGAGTGGGTGTCGAGGACGCGGGGCGAATGCATGTAATTTCCTGCGTTCAACTCGAATTACTCCAAATTTCCTAACGTCGGGAATGCTGGAGATGCGAATGGCCGCTCGCGGAGGAATGCGCCTTATTTGCGCTCTCGGCGGCTGGAGCGTCGTATGGAAAACCTGAGAAACAAATGCAAATTGGGAAGCGATGCAAAACAAAGATCCCTGATGGGGAATGAACGTCACTGAGGCGCGGGCTTCCTCTCCAGCTCTTTCATTGCAGCAATCGCCAATATTAATCTTGGGTACATGGAAAAAAAAATGTTTCCTTGTGTCATTGACAAATAAAGATGTCCGAGATGATACATCTTTTATTATGTAATTATAGTTTAAAGCACATTTGCAATCTAGTAAACGTGATATTTGTACTCGTGTTGATTTCATACAATTTCAGATAAACGTTTATAACATTTTATACAAAATTTCTGATTTAAAAATCATTATAATGTCTTCAACAGTGTTGGGGAAAGTTACTTTTAAAAGTAATGCATTACAATATTGCGTTACTTCATTAAAAAAGTAACAAATTACGTTACTTAGTTACTTTTTATGGAAAGTAATGCGTTACGTTACTATTGCGTTACTTTTTAAATATGGACAGGGCTTGCTTGTTTGTTTTTAAATTAAAAAAGTTCTATTTTTGGCAAATATAAAAGCCTTTTCACACCAAAAGTGAAATGAATAAGCCTCAGGTTGAAGGGAAAGTAAATTTACGTCCGTACAGTAGAATGCAGAAGAAGAAATTTCAACACACTTCAGCAATAAAAAAAGACACATAAATGTTTTTCTAGAATAATTATTGCTTATTAGTATTGTTGAACTGGATCATTGAAGGTCAGAAGCAAAGACATTGGTTAATAGAATGGGACTAAATACATAAAGGATAGTTGTGTTGTTTAACATTTAATTATGGCAGGTTTGCGTCATATTCTGAGTTGCATTATTTTTATTCATTTTGAGGAATACTGAATCTGTGTTTTTTTTTGTGTGTGTGTGAAATGAATTAATGCATATTCATATTTATTTTAGAACTACAGTAACATCTGATTTCTCTCAACATGGGGACAGGAGAGCTGTCAGTCAATAAATTGGAAAAAAAGTAACTTGCGTTACTTATTTGAAAAAGTAACTCAGATATTCTCTTGAAAATTAAAAAGTAATGCGTTACTTTACTAGTTACTTGAAAAAAGTAATCTGATTACGTGACTCGCGTTACTTGTAATGCATTACTCCCAACACTGGTCTTCAAACATATTTTTCCAAGTAAAACTTTTAAAAAAATGTGTGACACCTTAACCTTGCGACATAATCACGAGAATCTAAATTTGGCAAAATCTATTCAAATTTTAATAATACTGAAAATCTAATTGTTAAAACAAAAACGTAACATATGCTGAAAAAAATATATACTTATAATATAATATACTTATATACTAATATTTATATATAAAGTCCAAAAACAAAGTTTGGGGGGAAATTATTATTATTATTATTATTAATAACTAGTTTAGCTTTATTTTCATTCACTTCATGAAAGAAGGTGAACCATAAATTCAGTTAGGGTGAATATACGAATGAAGAAAAGCCATTATAGTATATAAAACACATATAAGGGACTGAATTAATATTAATATACAGATTTAATTTCTTTTTCATAAGAAAATCCTCTTAATTTATTCCAGTCGCTTTCATATGAGCACTCATGGTTTGCAACAAAGACCCAATGCTTATGTTGAGGCTTATTGTTATAGTGTATCTCAATCCTGAAATCCTGAAGTACTGCACATTTTGGATGTCTCCCTTATGTAATACATTGTTTGCTCATTTGTAGACCATCCAAGACCTGAACTTTACAAACAAATTAACTGTGTATGCAACAAATTTCATCACCTGTGATTATATATATCAGATGGTTTCCACTATAGTGAAACGGAGAGTTTATCAGTGTTTTTACACTTTATCTTGCTACCAAAATACCAGTTAAGAAAACAGTTAAAGGGCTAAGGCACATGGCTGTGTAAATTAAACAAGCACTGACTCAGTTTAATACCATTGAGAGCCATCTACATTTTGTTAGACCTCATATCTTAGTTGTAGCAAGAGCCAATCTGTTATTTTATTCGGTTATTTTATCCTTATCACATGCTTTTTTCAGTTAAAACCCAACCAAACAGAATAAGATATTAAAACATGGCTGTAATTCACAAGAGAACGCAATATGGGATGTTTTTCCCCTCTGTGTACAGGTTTTCATTTTGTAATAATATCAGAAGCTGGAGTGATGCTGAACTCATACTGGCACAATCTGGATATATGAGCTGAGGGGGTTTGCTTCTCTGTCCAAGATTTTGAGAGCATAATCTTCTGCACCAGGCACAGTCATAACCTTTCTAGGATTGAGCAGCAGACATTGTCACTCCACTGCAGAAACGAGCGGGATGGAAGCGAGGTGCACTGCTTCCTCCCATCTGTGAATGAGAGGCCATTTTGTTCCATTCTATCTGATCTGAATAGCTGAAATGGGAAACACACACAGAGCCAATTGAGCTTTGTCTCGGTTTGCTAAAAACCAGCCTGTTTCCTTCAAGAGAGGCAATTTGAATGCTTAGGCTTCAGAGAGTTTAATATTGGGAGGAATGGTGGAGATGAGCTGAGCGTGCTCGGAAATGATGTGTTGACAGACTACAGCTGGTTCTGAGAGTGTGACTGAATCCAAAGATTTTTTCCCCCATATTGTTACACGGCCATATTTGGTGTGCCCAACAGTGTTGGGAAAAGTTACTTTAAAAAGTAATGCATTACAATATTGCGTCACTCCCTAAAAAAGTAACTTATAGCGTTACTTAGGCCTCTTTTCCACTGCATGGTAACCGTACCGTTACCAAAACATGACGTGTAAACTTTGCTGATCACTGATTGGCCGGAGAGAATCGTCACCTGCGTCACTGAACTTGCGTCACAAACACAACAGAACCGCTAGATTTAAATCAGCACAGCCAGCGAAGGATCGAACGCAACTGTTTTGAACGAGCGCACCTTTTTTTACCAACCAAAAAGTGGGTGTTTTGTTGTCTGTTGAAGAAGTATAGACGTTCCTCTCGTTGATAGCAGAGGAGCGGATCCAGCGGGAGCTTGAAGGGGCGATGCGGAATGAAAAAGTTTTTCAGGAGTCGCAGCAGTATAGGCAGCACAACTAACGACATGTGAATAATCCCGCCCACTCTAAAGCGGTACTGAACTGCAGTCGAAACCGAGCGGCAACCTTCTGCTCTCTCTCGTGAACCCAACATGGAAGTGACTAAAACTAAAATTCATCGACTGGCCGCTAGAGGCTGGCTCCAAAAGGGAGAAGTGGTTTTGGTCTATATAGCTAATTTTGCCCTTCATGACAACTGTGAGGGGGGTGCATTTTTTTATAACTCATCCGTTTAAATTATATTAAGCCTTAAAGTTCTGCATAATTAAGGGCGTGGCCACTTGAGTGACAGGTGGACCGCCGCTGCTGTCACCGCCGTCGAGCTAGGTGGGCGTGGTTTCAGCAACCAGCTCCCGCCTCTTTGCCCATTTTCGATTATCCGGAAGTGATGCACTGCCAAGATGGCTCCGCCCACTTTGAGCATCAAAAACGCTCTTCGGAATCTACGGGTGACATCACGGACACTACGTCCATGTTTTTATACAGTCTACGGTGGAAACGCAAACCGTGCCGAGCCGAGTCGTACCACGCAGTAGAAAAGCGCCATTAGTTACTTTTTATGTAAAGTAATGCATTAAGTTACTTTTTCTCATCCGGGATGGGCTTACTTGTTGGATTTTAATGTAAAAAATGTCTATTTTTGGTAAATGTAAAAGTCCTTTCACACCAAAATGAATAAAGGCCAAAGTATACTTCGGTATGCATACATGACGGTCCGCACACAGTGTGCGTGACGCAAATTTCGTCACCAAAATAGTACGCGCACCATCCGATTTTTGAAACTGGTTTGAAAAAGTAACTCAGATAGTTTTTTGTAAATGTTGTTACTTTAGTTACTTGAAAAAAGTAATCTGATTACGTAACTTGTGTTACTTGTAATGCATTACCGACAACACTGCTGGTCAAATATGGCAGGCCTACAAAAAATTGCTTAGAAATCATCAAGTGTGAGGTGAAATTGCTCATTATGTTATATTATCACCAAATACTGGATTCAATCAAGCATTTTTTAAAAGTCAGGTCAGTTTTGACCAGGAACACTGAATAGAAGCACAGCACAAGGGTTAAAAGTTTAGCATTTAGCAATTAGTATTGCTTCTCCCGGTTGACCCTGTCAGAACAAAACTGTGACCCATTTCCACCAGCTGTAAACCTCAATAACCACATAAAGATCTTAAAAAACAAAATATTTCATGGTACAGATAATAAAATGAATCTTGGTAGGTTAATCAAAAAAATATTTACAATAAGTATCACGTCAATCACAAGTTCTACTTGTCCTGGCACGTGGAATTAGCATTGTTCTTAATATTTACTTATTTTTGTGTGGCATATTCATTCACAATGCCTTTCCCTGTGGGAACATGCTGTTCTGCGATTCATTTCCCATGAAACTCTATTCAGAGATCCATCAGATTACTCCTTTACTGCCAAACATGTTAGCAGCCCTCCCCAAAAACGTCATTATTCCCAAATGACCTGTGTTGTTGGTTGCTTTAACCTTTACGCTTAATGTTACCTATTGTTTTTAAGTATGTAAGTAATGAATGATGCTCCAGACACATAAAAGTTGTTATTATCTAAACTGAGCTTTTGGGATGCTTTCATATGATACACACATAAACTGCTACGAATCATTGTGTGTAGTTCGTGCGGCGATCATCTTACACGTGGTGTCATGTGCAGGCAGTGAAACCAAAAGCTCCTGGAACTAATGCCACCTTCAGAGAAGAGTAATTGCAGACACACCCAGTCCTATTAGATGTGCAAACATCCATTGTTGCAAGTACGGTACAACGTCAAATCTTTTTATGGCTTCCGGTCACATCAACTGAACTAAACAAAGGCAATTTTTCTGCATTTAATATCCTTTTGAGAATGTTAAAGGAGGATACTTTGAGTGAAACCTTTTCGGGTAATTCCCTTGTAAATAAGCGACTGTTTATTACTACAACTTTATGCACAACATCTAGCTGCTAACTGATATTAAAACATGTAGTGATCTGTC